GCTTTTCTTCAAGATCGAGGAAGTGTCTCATCAATTTTATGATGCCGATACTTACAGCAATTCCTTTGTGCTCTATAATCAATTTGTTCATATTGCGGACAGTTTCTTTTAAATTGTCATTGCATGAGCAGAACTCAACGTCATCTTTAAAAGACGCTACAAATGCCCGTCTTCTCCAGCGACCAAAGAGCAAAAAGGATGGATGACCTTGTTGTCAGATTATAGCTGGCCTGTATTTATCGTACTTATTACCTGCCATATTATACTAATCCAAAACAGCAAAATCATAAATAATCCCTCGTTTAAATGCAAATCCCTCGCTCCTTCCCACTCCTCATTATTCTTTCTTTACCAAACGACAAATTGCAAATCTGGGTAATGTAATCGCTGACCTTTCAGTGGCTTTAAACTGGCATGACCGGTAAACAGCAAGGTTATCGTCTCCTTCTTCGAAGCTCTACTAGGATTTTGCAAAGTACCTTTTGGATTCTTATGTCATGATCATCTTCTTACTAGTTTGATAAATATGCAAATTGTGGCATCTAAATTCCACCAGCCTAATTGATTACATTTCGCTAACTATGAATCTTTCGAAACGCCCTAAAGCGAGCAACACGGATTGTGCTCATAGTCCCCGGCCCCCCCCCCCCACTCAGTGTTATTTAGGGTACGCATATGCTCGTTCCCTCTTTTTGAAATCACCCCCTATCTGAGGACTGCCAACATTTCCGAACCCCCCTTTCGCGGGCTTTTCGCGGGCTTTTCCTGCCTTGGAGACCCCCCTAAATCAGGAAAAATGCTCAATGTACCCCCCTAAATTCGGAATAATTTCTCAGGAGTCCAAGTAGATGAGAGAAAAAAAGAACCCCCCCCCCCCTTTTTCTAAAGAAATCTCCGGGTGAAAAGTCAAATACACCCCTTTTTTTACAATTCTCGGGCCGGACTTTGTCGCACGAAAAGTACCCCTTTACCGGACATTTTGGCAACACGCATGCGGTCATTTCGAAACCTGAGTGGGGGGGGGGGGGCCGGGTCATAGTCTCTCTATCTTTTCCTGGCCCCCTTTCTTCCCCTCCCTCACCTACCCCCTTCCGCCTTCTCTCTCTCTCCCTCTCTCTCTCGCTCACCCCCTCCACTTCCGCTCTCTCCCTCTCTCTCCCTCACCCACCTTCTCCCCCCCTCTCTCTCTCTCTCTCTCTCTCTCTCTCTCTCTCCCTTTCTCATTCGCTCGCTCTCCAGGTTGTGTCTAGTCTACTGCCAGGTATTATGAGCGCTCATAAAACCACATGTAAAATCATGTTTCACCCGAGATAGACATATCATTGAGAGGACAAGGAAGACTTCCATGACACATGTTATATAATGATCGTTGCACACGAGGCGTTATGTTGTAAGACTGGCACTTGATGACGTCATTTCGTATTCATTTCCAACGTAATTGTGAATAATATTGGAAGTCATGCCTTATTGACAAGCACACAATTGGTAAAAACGAACACGATATTAATTGTCACGTTGAAATTGAAGAGAAATTTGTTTTATGTTAGTTCAGGCTTACAAACACTACAATCGGAAGATTGCAATGATGCAACTACACGAGTTCTTTTGTCTTCTGTCAATATTTAACATGATGATGTTTTAGAACATAGTGTGAGCAGGCTTATTCTTTGCCTTTTGAACGTGATACGGAAAGATGTTTCAACTGAACAATGAATTGAACGTCACTTGATAGAGTGTTCAAATGAGAGGGGGAATTAGCGAGAGATGGAGAGAGAAAAGAGAGGAAAAAGGGGTGGATGGGTTCGGTTAGAAAGGATGTTTCAAACCAAGATGAATGGCAGAAACAGATAGAAATATAACAAATCTCCAACAAGGCTGAAACTTGGAATGAAAATTATAGGCATCGATAATTTCAACGTGTAAATTGTGAGAGAAATATCAACGGTCCCTGTATCCCCGATTTTAAATGGAGCCTATGGAGCCTATCTTAACTTTATATATTTTGTCGGGGAAATTGTAATTTTATCGAAATATACCGTATATATTTACATACATATTTTGCTGAAATAATTTTGAAAAAATACAAAATCTACGATATAATAGAGCTTCTCCGCGTTCTCAAGGCCTGAATATGAGCTGCATGTATGTGCAGTTTCGAAATCTATGGGAAGGGGGCTGTATTTCTCCCTCATCCCCCTCCCCCACCCCAACAGTTTTGTTCACCTGTATCAGCCATTTACCTCGTTTGACAGGTTTCTATCTAATTCATATTAATGGCGTATATTGATAAACGAGGTTTATCTCTTATAACGACCTACATGTACTTTCATGTCATTTTACACTGCTTATCTGTTCGGAGCTTGTCTCTATATACATTATGTCATTCATCGCTGCTTTAAAGGTATAGACCAGTTTTGGAAACGCACCCCTCTCAAAAAACGAAATGGAAGCTCTTATTACCAATCATGTGAAACAATATGTTTTGACTAATACGTGATGATACAAATTTTGCCGGGAAACCGCCTACTAATTGATATATTTGGTAAATTATCATATCTATCCAGACTGAATAGATATCGCGTATTCCCATATACATCTTTCTGCGTAATGTGCTTGTAACTTTACCAAGACTGGGCCAATTTTTTAAAAATCATTTTGATGATTCCAGAACCTTGCAGTACACGCCCATACTTATATGCTAGATGATCAACCTTTTCTGATCGATTCCACAACGTTTCTTTCACAATGCAATCGTATGACCAGAACTGGTCTTTACCTTTTAACCAAAATGATACTACATCTGTTTAGATCCAGACGGACGTTAATATAATTCTCCGTGAACGTATACATGAGTTTACGCCTTTCTGGCTTTCAAAAGGATTAAGTAGTAGATAATTCGCAGACATTTAACGATTTCAAGAAATGTTAAATTTGTCTCCTGACGTTTTATATCTTCTAAATCTCTAACTTCTAAATATGAGACATAAGAAAAGAAAATTACTCGTTACAAGTGGGCGAAAATTGAAAAATCAATAAAACACTGGATGGGTGTGACGTTATCAAAGGTATAGAAATCCAGAAGGCGGACTCATCAAGAAATGGAACTTGTCCCCCCGGACATCTTATTCAATTATGCGAGTATGTGAGATCCTAAAAGTCATCCAGCCCAAGAGACTGAACGTTCAGAAAATGTTAGATGGAGGACGGAAATTACAAAGGCACATCAATAAATCAATAGTTTTCATCTCAATCTGACACGTGATGCTAAGTTTGCATATTGATTGTTCTTCTCATAATCCCATATTGACATGCTTTTTTTTTACTTAGATGCATATGACTATGTGTTCCCTCGATCAGATCATAATACCAAAGCAGTTGAATTTACGTAATACTCAATATTGGTAAGATGGAACATGCCTGTTTATAAGCCATTAATGTACCCAACAGTTGGTACAATTTAGAGTGTAGAGATATACACCACGAAAAAAAGAAAGGTTTATATTGTAATTATTCAGTTAGACCTGACTCTGTGTCTAATTTCATGGTTGAAAAATTAAATTTTAAACGTCAGATTTTACTGCCTTTTCAAAAACCTATTTTGAACAAGAGCTTATAAGCTCACCGATAGGTTTAACTTTTAAGCCGAATATGGGCCAAAGAAACTGATAAAAAACAAACAGGAATACACTAAAAAGAATATAGTAAGAAGTAGAACAATTTCGGGGTTAAACATAGAAATGCATGAGGAAAGTTGAGAGACACAGGTATTCTAAGCCACACGCACACACGCAAATTTATCACACGAACACTTATAATAAATAAATAAATTGTCTGTTTGCAGCCAGAAGGACGTTAGATTAAAATCATAGAGTAAATGCTGATACCTCTCCACACAGACGAAGTTTGACTATTATTGCGCAAAAACACTTGTGAAACAAGAACACATCTCCCAATGGCTGATTGTCTTGTACAATTGTATGTCCCATAAACGTAAAATTCATGTTAACATTTGAAAAGTATTGAAATAATTAAGAATAATAAAAATGAATACATAAGGTTACAGTAAAGGGGCATAAAATGTCTTCGTGATGAATGGTTGTTTTGTTAAAATCGGAAGGGGAAAAAATAACGAAATATCGAATTACTCGGAGCTATATCTCCGCTCTCGCGTTTCCCTCAGGTGTTTGGGCGAAATCAATCAATGTCATCGGTCCTTCTGAAGCAAAACTTTCAATCTGATCTTCTCGTATTGATGTGTCATCCCATCCCACCCTATTATACGTGCAACCTTTACCTTACATATTTTGACTTTATTTAGTTGGGCGAACACGTAGGCAGAAAGATCAAGTTCTTTGGGGTTTCTTCATGTGTTTATTTCTGTACTCCATAGCGTTTAATTTCATGCTTTCAGGCACTTGAAGATCCGCAGGTACGCAATCTGGCCAAAGTGTTGAATGCAAAGAGCTAGTTAACCAGTACAGTTCAAACGTCTCCGATTCCGTTGTACCCTTTATTTTAGGCTTTAGGCCTCACTGCTCTACCGCTGGAGAATCTATATAAGTGGGCGACAGGTTTGCATTTCGCAAACACAGAGTACAGGATATGATTCGCGAATTGATAATGGTGTTATCGCCTGCAAGATTCATGTTTGATTATCACTATTACCTTCCAACCCAAAGAGAGAGAGAGAGAGAGAGAGCGGGTAGATGTATTAGATTATTGCTGCATTTTCTTTTTGTATGCATCACGAAATGACAATGGCGTTATCACGTGCAAGGACCATCTTCGACCATCATTATCACCGTGTTATCTAGAGAAGGCAGATGTATTTGGTTCTTGAGTCATGATTGTATACTGCCATCTTACTTGCCTTTTGCAATAGTCGATTGTCTTGATCAATTGATGCATTTTCTTGACATGACATGAGCACGTTCTTTAAACGTTTTTCATGCTCTCCAGCTGATGTTTCATTCAACAATTTCAAGGGAGTTGTGTTAAACATGAATGTGACATTGGGAAAAAAGACCATTGAAAATAATCGCACCCCGGTTGATCCAATTGGAATAAGCCTTCTTTGCATTGGGATCATCGGTATCACGGGAAACCTGATCTGCGTTGCCATTCTCCGTCGCCATTCCTTCCGCAACCACACCAACTGGTTAATCGCCAACCAGGCTCTTGTCGACTGCCTCGCCTCTTCCTTCCTTGTTGCATCAGAGATAACACGCCTCGCAGGGCTGGAGCCTTCAGATACGAACCATTTTGCAGCGATCCTTCTTTGTAAGTTTTGGAAATCCTTAGCTGTTGTCTTCGGTGCTTATGCCATATCCACCTTCAACTTGGTGGCATTGTCCATTGAGCGTTACCTGGCTGTGGTCTATCCGATATGGTACCTGGCTCATTTCAAGCGACGCGCCGTTTACATTCTGGCAGTTCTCACCTGGCTCTTAGCTCCTCTTTTCCAGATGATAAATGCCATCTTGCACAACAGGGTGACGGATAAAAGGAAATGCTTGTACGTACCGACATACAACCACCTACTAATTGTGTTGTTCTTGTGGGAATACTTCATACCCGTTAGCATCATGACATTCTCTTTCATGGCCATCTTAAAGCGTTTCCGACACTTGAACAGGGTTGCCAACGACAGAGTCAACGGCTTCCCGCATTCCCGACAATGCACACCTACGCCGTCGCCTTGTGCCAGTGGTCAAAGCATAACACCATCAGTCGTAACTTACGTGGCACGTGCAGAGGCCAATAGGGATCGACCTAAAAGCACCATCAACATAGAGGAATCCCCGACTGATGTCCCCAGACGTGACGGTGAATTAGAAAGCACAGAAGAGGCAACTCCAAAGGTCACAATCAAGAACGCGAAACCAGCTACCAATGGGGTTCTGCAGAGGCGCAACACCACCAAAGTGCTAATCTCAGTATACCTTCTGTATCTCTTATGCTGGTCTCCCAATCAGTGGGCATTCCTCTACTACCACCTTGGTGGCCATCTCAACCCCATGTTCCACCAGTTTTCCATCGTTCTGTGCTCTTTAAACACTTGCATTAATCCTTTTGTCTACGTACTACGGTTAAACATTTACCGTCGTGAATTAAAATCTATGATTCATTCATGTCTGCAAAAAGCACTAGGTTGAGCACATTTTGCTCCAGGCTCATGCACTGGCAAACCGACTCCGCCCCGACTCAAACTGACTCATGGGTATTTGATTTAGTTTTTGGTGCGGTCTGGTGTCGGTTTCAGAATGTAAGTTAGACTTAGGTCTAAGTTTCTCCGCTATTACTTAGTGAGATAGTACATGACCGGGCTTATTGAGTAAATTAGTGTAATATGGACCATACAAGATAATTTTCTCGAGTCTTTCCGCAAGACTCATAAGTCAACTCTGTGAGAAAGTTAGTATTTAATTCTTTTGTAATGCTGTGTAATCTTGAAATATCTTTTGATCTGGTTCAAGATATAACCTGTATTAATAATCACCTGTTGAAATCATTACATTATACAGAGAATGTAGAACAGACCGAGGTTAGATTAACGTATTCGCGTTTTTTAAGTTCTTTACAGTAACTAATATAAAATAGATTTTCATCTTCATAAAATTTCGTCATATCTACTTTCATCTTCATTTAACATTATTTATAGACGTTAAAACATTTTTTTTCTGGGGCGGTTGTTCTTTAATATGTGCGTTGACTAAAAAATGGAGCATTTTCAAATACTCTTATCTTGGGAGTTCTAGAAAGCGCTTCGATTGCCTAATGCGCAGAAATATGATTAGAAGTACACTGTCGCTCATATAGGTGGAATATTTTTGTTTTACCCCAATTTATGGAATTATTTTAAAAATAATTTTAAAATAATAGATCTAGATAATAGTATACATTCTCGGATTTTTTTGAATAATAATTTGACAATGTGTTTTTTGCGTGACTGCTAAAGCGTGTGTATGCTTCTTTGCTTATCAAACAGGGGACCTACGCCCTTAAGTCATAAATGACAGTAATGAGGATTAATGCACTAATATAGCACATCGACACGGTTTTGATCCTGGGGCCTCACAGTTACGAGGCCATTGCTTTGTCACTGAACCATGACTGTATGCAGCGGGGGCTAGGGTAGGGGGCGGTTTCCATAAATTAAAAAAAGAGCGGAAAATGCAATAAATTTTCAATAATTTATTGAATTTTACCCCGGTTCCCAACATTAAAAAATCCTCTGTGTGCCCATGTCTTGAGCCATAATGCATGGCCATCCAGAGGATTTGTTTATTGAAAATTTATTGCATTTTCTGTGTTTTTATATATTTATGGAAACTGCCCCTACCCTAGACCCCGCTGCGTACAGTCATGGTTTAGTGACAAAACAATGGCCTCGTAACTGTGAGGCCCCAGGATCAAAACCGTGTCGATGTGCTATATTAGTGCCCTTTTGTGGGGCATTAATTCTCATTACTGTCATTTATGACTTAAGGGCGTAGGTCCCCTTTTTGATAAGCAAAGTAGCATACACATGCTTTAGCAGTCACGCAAAACACACATTGTCAAATTATTATTCAATAAAATCCGAGAATGTATACTTTTTTCTAGATCTATTATTTTTTAATTATTTTTTAAATAATTTCATAAGTTGGGGTAAAACAAAAATATTCCACCTATATGAGCGACAGTGTATATATATATATATATATATATACATACTTTTTTCAATTTGTTTGGATATGATGGTCACAATGTTGTAAATGCCTGTGATATAAAAGTATTTTCTCACACTTTTAATTATATTTTTGTAAACGAATGAAAATTATTTAAAACTAATTTAGTAGGGCATAATTGACTCGATCGAGAAATATTTTCATGAACATTAACATTCACCAAAAATAAACATTCTGCCATCCTTAAAAGTTATCATAAATGATTCTAGACTATGTTGTGATTATTTTCAACATGAACAACAACAAAAATCCAAAAAAAAAATGAACTTAAAAAATAAAAGCAAAAGAAGTTCTCGAGTATAATCTTAGCAATCGAACGATTCGAAAATGTGATATTTATAGTCAAAGGAATATCAAACTAAATCATGCAAAACAACTGCTCATGTTTGATAGCATAACCAGGTACATTGTACGGTTGTTAACATGGTGGAGGTGGGAGTGGGGGGGGGGGGGGGGACTCGGGGCAAAACGCAGTCTGATATATAACATATCAAGAACTAACATGTGCTCTAATTGCGCCCCCTGAAGCAATTTTGAAGGAGGTTTCTCCTATCATTTTATTTCTTCTTCTTTTTGCAAGCTTGTAACTTTGCCCGCTTCAGCTGTTCTGCTTCATCTCAAATTGCATTTTAGACATGAGTATTGATATCTTACTGATTTTTATCAATTAACCTGTTTCTTATCCTTTCCTTGCCTCACTTTCTCGGATTGATGAATACAATTTTTCCTCTTTTACCTTTAACCCATTCTCTAGTTCTCGTTGTTACTTATAAATGTACTTCTCTTTCTCTCTCTCTCTCTCTCTCTCTCTCTTTCTCTGTCCATCTCCCTTCTCTCTTTCTAATTTGATTACATCATATAAATTGCGTCTTTAATTAGTTACTAAGAATAAATATCCCTGATGAATAATAATAATTGTGTTTATTGTTATTATTCATTATGTACATTTGTATCGAGTTTATTCACCAATATAATTGTGCTATTGTGCTCATTGTCAATTCATCTCGCGAGTCTTCTCATTCTATTGTATCCCAAGTTGGCCACTCAGTATTCAAATTTGCATTTCTTTTCTTATTCAAAATCTTTATATATCAATTTGAAATCCAACTACCACATAAGTCTGTGAATATTGATGTGCATCCCCTCTTTCTTTTCTCTTCTTTTTTCTGTCTTTTCCCCCTTTTACCAATATTTTGTTCCTCCATATTTGTATTATTATGTATCCTTTGAGGGTAGTCATACTATCAAGCTTTGCTTATTTTGTCAACCCTCCTGTTTGATGTTCTCGATTAGTTACACCCAGCCTTACTTTATTCTACATATATTCTTTTGTCATGTGTAAATTTGCAATATTTGTTTGTTATATATTTGTAAAAATGCAAAAGAAAAAGAAAATCAAACAGAAGTAAATAAATCAAATCAAATCAAATCAATTGCTATTGAGAAATAATACATTTTGTTAAGCCAGTCAACGCTTCTTTTAATAGAGGTCGGTCAATATGTCATGTAGCGTTAAGGAAGTTGCTCAGAAAGATATGTGTAGCGGATATGCTGTCAAAATACATGTGTGGGCGCGTGGCTGTGTGTGAGTGTGCGTGTGCCCGCGCGTCTGTGTGATTTTGTTTCTGTTTTTTTTTTATTTATGTTGTCAAGTCACCCATACTGGATCTCTCTGCGGCTTGAAATATTCCCGGTCCAGAAGAAGATATGCCCTGGAATGCATATATGGTCGTCTCAAATCTATCGAGACAAGGGACTTTTAGATTTGCGTGGACTGATACGTGTGACGTCCATTCAAGGCAGTGCATTAAAAGGACGTCGATCGTAGCAATCCACGTTGTCGCTGTGCAATTAAAAAAAGTCCCTATTTATAGAACACAAAACTTGATATAAAAGTTTTAATTAAACTAATCAATCAAAATGGGCATGCTTTGAGAAATAATCGTGATACTTAAAACAAAAATGAAGGTAGATCAAAATTCAAAATCGCTTGTATTAAATATCAACAAGAAATCAGATAGAATCAAGTCTGTTTCGAACAACTCATTCATTTGTGGAGCACTAGCACTACTTTCATAGTCGAGGCACCCTGGTCGCGATTGCACACAAAATGGGCAAAATTATGTTCAACTCCGAGCTGCATATTAAAGAGCCTACACCAGGGGCGGCCGAGCGACTTCCAAAATGGGGGGGGGGGGCACCAAGAAAAAAGGGAATTTTTGGAGAAAAAAGGCACCTACAAAGTGAAATCTCAAAGCGAAAATATACAATCTTTTAGACATTGGTATATACCCCTACATTGTGATTACATTATCAGGAATGATTTCAATATCTATTTCACTTTATACGCAATACAAGCTATTCATTAAGCATCATGCTTTGCATTTTGGTGTGATGGTCTGAACAATTATTTGCGAGCGAGCGAATCGAGCAAGGAAAACTTTTGATATTTGTGAGATGGCAGAGCGAAAAATTAAATCTGATAAAGAGGAAAAAACCCAATCCTGATGGGGTTATAAGCACATTCTCATAACGGAAGACTGAAAGGACCTTTGATAAGTAACATAAGTATATCATCTATAGATGCGTGCGAGCGTATCGAGCGAGCTATGGGAGAAATTGCTCTAAGTTGCTTGAAATTTTGGGCGCGTTTGATAATGAGAGGAAAAGGGGACATTTATCAGAAAAGAAAAAGGAGCATGTGTCAAAGTACAAAGAGTAATTATCAGTGTTGAAAATGAGGCACTCACCAGGGATGAAAAATAAGTCATGAGAACAGAAAATGGACATTTGTCGACGGAAAAGGGGCCCCCATTAGATTTCGATAAGGGCATTTATAGGAGGCATTTATGAAAAGGGGCAGTTATGAAAAGGGGATAGGTCCCTTATTAGAAAGGAAAAGGGGCACGTATCATTGTCAAAAGGGAAATTATCAGAGGTGAAAAGAGGCACTTATTGCACCTGAAAAGGGGCAATGACCAGATATGAAAAAAGGCACTTATGTGGATGTAAAAGGGGCACTTATAATAAAGGAAAATGTGCATTAGTTGAAAGAAAATGGGCACCGATCAGATTTTAAAGGGACCTTTATCGGAAGTTAAGGGGGCACTTATCTGAAGTGAAAAGTAGTAACTTCTCGTACCTGCAAAGGGTCATATACAAGAGAAGGGGAACTTATGAGAAGGGGAAGGGGCACTTAGTAGAAAGGAAAAGGGGCACATGTGAAAATATAAGGTGCGCTTATCCGAGTTAAAATGGGGGTAGTTATTAAAAGGGGAAGGGACACTTATTACAAAGGAAAAAAGGGAACATGTCAAAGTAAAAGAGGCACCTCTCAGATTTGAATAGGGCAATTATCAGAGGTGAAGGGGGCACTAATCAAAGTGAAAAGAGGAATTTCTCGTAACTGAAAAGGGGCACTTATTAGAGATTTTAAAGGGCACTTATGAGAATGGAAAATGAACAGTTACATATGGAAACGTTGTATCCTCCGCTCAATCTGACTTGCGTGCATAGAACAAATAAGCATTTTTCCATGAAAAAGTCAAGTTTTCTAAAATGTGCGTTCTTTTCCGGCATTGGGGCGCCGGAATTCACTCGGGTAACATTTCATAAAGTATAATATAAAAAGACCATATGCAAATTTTCTGTACTTTTGTCGGAAAAAATACATTTATCCAGCACAATGTCGTCTCTTTTTGCGTTGGAGAAGAGCAAATAGCGAGTTTCAATCACACTTTGGCCGCTCTCGCAAGCTCTCACTCGTTTCACTGTGGTCAAGCAACTTTGGGGCAAGCGGTTAATGAAAATACTAATCGTTAGCTTTCTTCTGGTATTAAACTTGTTTTGATTGATTGTATAATTATGTCGGAATAAAGGAAACAAAAAGGCTCGACCAATAATTTATCAGTGTCTGAATTGACCTTTTGACCTTGAATTCCCAGATGCAAGCGCACTAATGACGTCATCTTCGCTAAATCGGCGTCTTTTATCGTAAAATGCGACACTTTCACAATGTTTATACATCTTTTTTAAACTATTAGTAAGATTTAACATATTTTTTCCGATATCACTGAAGTTTTGGGTTTTATTTAATGAGTAATTTTAAAATAAGAGTCATTTTACTGTTTTAATTTACTGGATCGTACCATTAAAGTCGCAGGGTAGAAAGATGCATTTTCCAACCGCGCCGAATTTAATTTACGTTCCGACATTCTGTTAAATGGGTTCGTGTTGTTAAGAATCCACTGCTTTCTGCTCAAACAAACGTCCACATGCGGAGTCGTTTATCAACTATAAATTATTCAAATTTATGGATGCTTCCTAGCTTCCCAGGTGGTTGTGTTGCTGTTGAAGCATTTCATTCACCTGCTATCATTCTTTGTACTCCAATTGCCAGAACACAAATTTCATTTTGGTTTTATGGTTTCATCGGAGTCGTTTATCAACTATATGTATTCAAATTTATGAATGCTTCCTCCCCAGGTGTTTGTGGTGTTTATGCATTTCAATCACCTGTAATTATTCTTTGTACTCCAATTGTTAGAATCAAAATGCATTTTGGTTTTATAGTTTCATGCAATAAGTAAGTCAATAAAAGAGTATGTTCTGCACAATAAAACAATGTGTGTCCCTATTGTACAATGTAATGTGTCCCCTCATTTTGTAATAGTTAATTTACCCATTCACATAATGGAACTACCTGCCCGATGAAGACAGCGGCCTGTGACCCCTGAGCACTCAACACCGTGTGGGAGTCAGTTTATGATCAACTTCTTTTATGAGACAAATACAAGCAAACGTTTCCATATGTGCAAAGAAAAAAGGGAACTTGTCGAAGAAAATGGAGCACATGTCCAAATTAAAGGGGCACTTATCAGAGATGAAAAGGGGATGAGGCACTTTTACAAATTAACAGGGGCACTTCTCAAAGTTAAAGGGGCACTGTGCCCCTGCCCCCGAGAGGGCCGCCTCTGGCCTACTCACATATTTTGTAACATGTGGGACTGAAAATAAAATGCAGTCTAGAAAGGATTGGAAACAATGCACTGGAATTTTACCCTTTATAACATGTAAGAAATCAGAAGAGCTATGGTACATGTATTACTATAAATCATATAAATTTCCTATAAAGCTAAACCGAAATGTATCAGTTGCTATATTTCTCCGAAATGATTTGAACATGTTCATGATTTATCTGCAAAAGTTGTCAGATTGTTTATCGGTAACCATATAGACTCAACCACTACTACTATGAATATATATATAGTATTATGCTAAAGGCTTAACTTACATATTTTGATGTTTAACATATATATATATATATGTAAGCTCTTATCTATTATTCTTTATCATTAATTTTTATTAAAACAATTAGCAAAAATATTTTTCTACAATTTAATTATTTTGTTATTGGCAAAGCTGAAACATCGTCTGCTCGAAAAATAAAGGGATAAATAATATGTATACCGGCATGCAGGGGCGGATCCACGTAGCGAATATTCCGCCCCCCCAACCCCCCCGAAACGATAAAAAAATAGGATAATAACGTAAAGTTAACCTTTATAAAACAAAAAAACAAAAGCGCCCCCCCCCCCGCTTATTCACCGGCCGGCAGAGTCGGCACTAAATTTTGTATTAAGATTTGGCTACCCCCCCCCCCCTTGACGCCGTCTGGATCCTCTGCAGGCGTGGATCCACGGGGGGGGGGCTGACGGGTCAACAAAAACAAAAAGAATTTAAAAAAAAAAATTCTCACGAATTAGGTGGAAAAAAAAACAAAAATAGTGGTCTCACCCCCCCCCCCCCCCCCCGCTTATTCACCGGCTGACTGAGTCGGCGCAAAATATTTCCTGAAAAATTGGACAAAAAAAAGTGCCTCCTACCCCCCCCCCCCCCCCCCCCCCCCCCCCCCCCCCCGCTTATTCAACGGTGGCTGCGTCGCAACTAATATTTTCTCACGGATTGGCCCCCCCCCCCCCCTCTTCCCGCCGGCTGGATCCGCCACTTCCTAGAGGAATCTTACCGATCATAACAGTTGTACAGGTATGCGCTCAACGTGGGAGAGACAGAAGAAGAAAAAAGATTATAGAAGGGGGTATCGATACATAATAAGTTATTGTAGCTAAGTATAGTAAATCGAGCTAAAATTGGCATGGTCCAGTCCTAAGTTAGTTTGCAATCTAAGGGGATTGTATCGCAATGGCATTGCTCTATTAGTGAAATATTTCGTTGAATGAACTGATTTTCATTGTGTTTTTTTAATTTGCAGATACCGTTACGTAATTCAGTTTTAGATGTGTACGTATGTGCTAATTAATGTACAAACCGGCCAGCAAAGCACTGTGGATTTTAAAAAGACAACATCTTGCGATGTTCGCCTGCTATTTTTGTGTGCCAGAATACCTCATTTTGGGGACAGGCAATTATCATTTCGACTGTATATCCTGCCAAGAAGTAAGTACAGTTTGGGTTGAATGTATTATCAGAATGATTGATTAATGCACATGTGAAAATATTGGATGTTTTATTATTTGTTCAAAACGAAACGGAGTTTCGCTCAATGAGAGTGTACACGCGTTAGATAGAAAAGTGTAAAGTCCTGTGTGCAGACCATTTGATAAAAGGTATACATTTTACATGTATTTGACATATTGCTAAGAATAAGCAGTATATCAATATTATTTTCAGGGTTATTTGTAGCATTCGAATATTTACAATTTACAAGAAAAAGCTGATTTGGTGGTTAATTTATGGCCGTCTTAATAGACTTTCACTTAATAGTCATGATTAAGACTAGCTTTTGGTATTGCACGCGGAGGTTGTTGTGGTCTTATCGGCTCTTCAACTGCACATGGTCTTACTAAAGGAAATTTATGACATGTGTTGTATTCTGGTAGTTTAGCTATTTTTTTTTGACAATCGAAATCGATGACGTCATTTAAAGAGATTTCTGTATGGGTTTTAATATAAATACTAGTGACTTAAAAACTGCGTCACATTTGATATGAAGATCAATGTCTTGAACATGTTGAAGAGGGATATTTGTAGAAATCTTATGAATGAGCAAAGTTTACCTAGACCTATATACATGCATTTATGAATTCTTCACTTTGTTATTCCAGATTGAATAAAAATAGACTAAGGTCTTATACGATTCCAAGCGGGACATGCTGGCTGCATTTGTCTTTTCTCTCAGAGATCCACGAACTGTAGACGCATTCTGTCATGGAATGAAAACAAAATGATGATAATGAAACTTAATGCATGCATTTTGAAGAAATTCAGAACCTAGATACTATTATTTATTGCAGCCTTTACTCATTATTCTTCATAAGTATATATATATATTTTTTATTACGAAAAATCCCCAAGAAAAAAAAAACCGTTCTCCGTTCCCTGGAATCGCCGCCCGCCCTTGTACGGTGGACTTGCTTTATATCGACTGCTACAAGGAAACATCCATTGTGAAAAGAAATAACAAAGATTGGGCACCGATTAAGCAGCTTTACATAATAATCGTTTCAGAATGTTTTCTTTTCATTCCGATTCTCGAGGTACTGCTTCGGTATGTGCCAGGCTCGGCGTTCGGTCAATCATTTGGGATGGGAAAGGATACGACAAAGTCAGAGCTGACGGGGACAATGACTTCGGTCAACTTGACAAAGCCGTCATTCAGAGCTGGACAAGCAGGATCAGAATAGACTATAAGCTACTGGTTAAGATGACAGCTTTATCAAATGATTCTTATCTACTCCAGTGGTCCCGATCAATAGGAGCGTCTCCCATCATACTCTGGTATTAAGCCAACAATCTTTACTGATCTTCCACCTTGTCTTGCACAGTTTTCGGTAAGTGAACACCACCTTCTTTGGCCTTATTTTATCAACGTGAATGATTGTCTAATATCTACCGGAATATGAATGTTTTGATAACCATTTTGAGTAAAATTGCAATTCAAATCTAGAAGTAAAACAAATTATGAAAAACGAAAATCATCCACTCTTTCCATACTATTTTTGTATGCGTTCTTGTAAAAGACTACGTTCAATGAACTGTCGCACTCAACGCTTCAAAATTCCTTCGTTCCTTTCTCGATCCGCAAATACAATCAAAATGCTACCTAAATTTTACGTTCTTCTTTATTTCTGTATTGTTATTTTTGTAATCTTTCCGGGCCATCCCGTTCACCCCAACACTTAACGTAAGAAAACTTCTGTATAGCAATATTCTGAAGAATTTTTTTGTCAAACTACATGATATATTATGAATAAGAACTTTGTACGTTTGTAAAATGTGAGCAAAACAAATTTCCAATATTGAACAATAAATTTTAAAAAATGAATTGAATGAATAGTGGTATGTTTATTTTTTGTTAATAGTACTTGTTAATGTTAACCGATATATAGCCTTGTAACTGTGTGAGTGGTATATTTTGTTTTGGGGTGCCAGTTTAAAAAAATATGAATTATTTTGTGTAGCCTAGTCATATTGATAAGATTGGAATGTGATGTCATTTTCAAAAGATCCTGGTTATAAAGAGAACTTTGCCTGTATGACATCGTTGTGATTTCCTTGGCTCTTCAACAATTCTGGCGCCCAAAAGCTGGCGCCATTTTAGGCAACATGCGCTGTACGAAGATAGAGGGCCATTTCTGAACTTTTTTTTTTTTTTTTTTTGGGGGGGGGGGTCATTTTTGTTGTTGTTTATCCTCGGGATTGTTGTATTTATTTTATTGCCATTCAGTCTATTTCGGTTTTATATGGAAGTATACGTATTAATATTAATTTGGAAATTAATATCCATGTTTGCAAGTCAAATTACATTATAACATACAGATGGCGCTTGTTAAAGTCTATCATAAGTATACGGCATAACATTTGAGATTCCTCATCACATTTATATACGATTGCAATTTTGGTGGGTAAATTGAGTCCAATTTACATTAACAGTTTCAGAAACAACTGGTTTGGGCATTTTCATTTCGTTTTTCTTCACTGAAATTGAACAATGTGACTGCCTTCAAAACGTGTTAAGTAGACTTAAGACTTAGTGTAGGAAATTACTAGTTGGGAAATAGTGAACTGTGAATGAGACTACCAGGCCCTGACCCTTCAATTGTGGGTGAACGGCACGCCTAGTCAGATGCTCTTTTTCAAAATCATGAACTCATTTGTTTTGTGCATTAATGTATCAAGTGACTTTTTACTCTCTGAACGCTTAGAATATTTTGATGGATGTAAATCGTGTTAGGAGATGTTGGCCTGTTGAATGATGTTCCTACCGGGCCCTTCCCCTTAAACTGTATGTGAACGCCACGGCCAGTTAAATGCTCGTTTTTAATGTATGTATGCAGGTAAGGGCTTAGTGTGGTTAGTTTCTGGCTGGGAGATGGTGACCTGTAAATGATGAGCCTACAAGGCCCTGCCCCTTAAACCGAAGATGAACTGCATGCCTAGGCATATGCTCTTTTTTTATTAAAATATGTAGTTAAGGGCTTAGTGTAGTTAAAATTTGGCTGGGAGATGGTAACCCGTGCATTGTGAACCAACCGGGCCCTGCCCCTTAAAGTCGGCACACCCATTCAGATACTCTTTAAAAAAAGAAATTGTATGTATGTATATAGGGCTAAGTTTAGTTAATTTCTGGCTGGGAGATGGTGACCTGTGAATGATGAGCCTACCGGGCCCTGCCCCTTAAACTGTAGGAGAACGGCACGCCCAGACAGACGATTTTTTTTTTACCAATTGTATTTATTTACTGTATGTATGTATGTATGGTAGGATAAGTTTAGTTAATTTCTGGCTGGGAGATGGTGCCCTGTGAATGATGAGCCTACCGGGCTCTGCCCCTTAAACCCTAGGAGAATGGCCCGCCCAGAAAGATGATTTTGTTTGTATTAATTGTAGTTATTTATTGTGTGTATGTAGGGTAAGTTATTTTACTTAATTTCTGGCTGGGGAATGGTGACCTGTGAATGATGAGCCTACCGGGCCCTGTCCCTAATACTGTAGGAGAACGGCACTCCCAGACAGATGATTTTGTTTTTATTAATTGTAGTTATTTGTTGTATGTATGTATGGTAGGGTTATTTTACTTAATTTCTGGCTGGGAGATGGTGACCTGTGAATGATGAGCCTAACGGGACCTGCCCCTTAAACTCTAAGAGAACGGCACGCCCAGACAGATGATTTGTTTGTATTAATTGTATTTATTTATTGTATGTATGTATGGTAGGTTTAGTTTAGTTAATTTCTGGCAAGGAGATGGTGACCTGTTAATGATGAGCCTACCAGGCTCTGCCCCTTAAACTGTAGGAGAACGACACGCCCAGACAGATGATTTTGTTTGTATTAATTGTAGTTTTTTTATTGTATGTATGTATGGTAGGGTTATTTTACTTAATTTCTGGATGGGAAATGGTGACCTGTGAATGATGAGCCTACCGGGCCCTGCCCCTTAAACTGTAGGAGAACGGCACGCCCAGACAGATGATTTTTTTGAATTAAATGTACGTAGGTTAGGGCTTAGTGTAGTTAATTTCTGGCTGGGAGATGGTGACCTGTGAATGATGAGCCTACCGGGCCCTGCCCCTTAAACTGTAGGAGAACGGCACGCCCAGACAGATGATTTTGTTTATATTAATTGTAGTTATTTATTGTATGTGTGTATGGTAGGGTTATTTTACTTAATTTCCGGCTGGGAGATGGTGATCTGTGAATGATGAGCCTACCAGGCCCTGCCCCTTAAACTGTAGGAGAACGGCACGCCCAGACAGATGGGTTTTTTTAAATTAAATGTACGTAGGTTAGGGCTTAGTGTAGTTAATTTCTAGGTGGGAGATGGTGACCTGTGAATGATGAGCCTACCGGGCCCTGCCCCTTAAACTGTAGGAGAACGGCACGCCCAGACAGATGATTTTTTTGAATTAAATGTACGTAGGTTAGGGCTTAGTGCAGTTAATTTCTGGCTGGGAGATGGTGACCTGTGAATGATGAGCCTACCGGGCCCTGCTCCTTAAACTGTAGGAGAACGGCACGCCCAGACAGATGATTTTGTTTGTATTAATTTTAGTTACTTATTGTATGTATGTATGGTAGGGTTAGTTTGGTTAATTTCTGGCTGGGAGATAGTGCCCTGTGAATGATGAACTTACCGGGCCCTGCCCCTTAAACTGTAGGAGAACGGCATGCCCAGTCGGATACCCTTTTTATTAAAATGTAATTATTAATTCATGTCTGATGTTCGGCCTTAGTGTAGTTAATTTCTGGCTAGTTGATGGTAACCTGTGAATGATGAGCCTACCGGGCCCTGCCCCTTAAACTGTAGGAGAACGGCACGCCCAGACAGATGATTTTGTTTATATTAGTTGTAGTTATCTATTGTATGTGTGCATGGTTGGGTTTTTTTTACTTAATTTCTGGCTGGGAGATGGTGACCTGTTAATGATGAGCCTAACGGGACCTTCCCCTTTAACTGTAGGAGAACGACACGCCCAGACAGATGATTTTGTTTTACTTATTGTATTTATTTATTGTATGTATGTATGGTAGGATTATTTTACTTAATTTCTGGCTGGGAGATGGTGACCTGTAAATGATGAGCCTACCGGGCTGTGCCCCTTAAACTTTAGGAGAACGGTACGCCCAGAAAGATGATTTTGTTTGCATTAATTGTAGTTTTTTTTTATTGTATGTATGTATGGTAGGGTTATCTTACTTAATTTCTGGCTGGGTGATGGTGACCTGTTAATGATGAGCCTACCAGGCCCTGCCCCTTAAACTGTAGGAGAACGGAACGCCCAGACAGATGATTTTATTTATATTAATTGTAGTTATTTATTGTATGTGTGTTTGGTAGGGTTATTTTACTTAATTTCTGGCTGGGAGATGGTGACCTGTGAATGATGAGCCTACCGGGCCCTGCCCCTTAAACTGTAGGAGAACGGCACGCCCAGACAGATGATTTTGTTTACATTAATTGTAGTTTTTTTATTGTATGTATGTATGGTAGGGTTATTTTACTTAATTTCTGGCTGGGAGATGGTGACCTGTGAATGATGAGCCTACCGGGCCCTGCCCCTTAAACTGTAGGAGAACGGAACGCCCAGACAGATGATTTTGCTTATATTAGTTGTAGTTATCTATTGTATGTGTGCATGGTTGGGGTTTTTTACTTAATTTCTGGCTGGGAGATGGTGACCTGTTAATGATGAGCCTAACGGGACCTTCCCCTTTAACTGTAGGAGAACGACACGCCCAGACAGATGATTTTGTTTTACTTATTGTATTTATTTATTGTATGTATGTATGGTAGGATTATTTTACTTAATTTCTGGCTGGGAGATGGTGACCTGTAAATGATGAGCCTACCGGGCTGTGCCCCTTAAACTTTAGGAGAACGGTACGCCCAGAAAGATGATTTTGTTTGCATTAATTGTAGTTTTTTTTTATTGTATGTATGTATGGTAGGGTTATCTTACTTAATTTCTGGCTGGGTGATGGTGACCTGTTAATGATGAGCCTACCAGGCCCTGCCCCTTAAACTGTAGGAGAACGGAACGCCCAGACAGATGATTTTATTTATATTAATTGTAGTTATTTATTGTATGTGTGTTTGGTAGGGTTATTTTACTTAATTTCTGGCTGGGAGATGGTGACCTGTGAATGATGAGCCTACCGGGCCCTGCCCCTTAAACTGTAG